TGCAAGGCCAAGCCCAAATGTGGTGTCTGTAGTAAGGCACACAACACCGAGGTGTGTTTTAAGGCACACAAGGCAAGCCAGGCCTGGAGCCAGGCTTGCTCTGTCAGGAAGGAGGCGGCCCTCAGGCGACAGAAGGTTGCTAAAAAACGACCAGACTTTGTTCCTGCTGCCCCAGACACCCATGCCTAGGGATAGAACAAAAGGGAAAAGGCTCCTCGAGCTCCTAAAAGGAAGGAAGCATCTCCCCAGCCAACACCAGGCACCTCCACAATCCTGCCCTTAAAAGTGTGCAAAAAAGAACTAGAGGAATAAAGGTTCAAAGGAAGTCTCTCCAGGAGACGATCATCTATTTTGTGAGGAAGATATGACTCTCCTGTTAACTGTATTCTCTGAAGTAGCAACAACTTTGAGGAGGCAGTCACGGTCGCCATGAAGGCAATGATCCAGACTGTTCCAGCCTTGAAAGGGAAAAAGCTGGATGGGGCCAAACCAGCCCCTACCCTACCCCAGGACGAGACTCCCTCCTTACTCCAATCTTAGCCAAGCCCTCACAGGCAGATCCAAAACAGGCTGAATCTGTGCATCCAGTGACTGACCTTACCCAGGTTAAGCCAGCTGAGGGGAAAAAACACGCAAACAAAGCCTGAAAAAAGAAAAGCCACAGCCACAAAAGTCAGACCTACCAAAGGCTCTCCACCTCCCAATGAACCCATAGATAGCCTGATAAACAGCCTAAAACAGATGAAGATCCCTCAGTCAGCTTGGATTTCACAATGGAGTTGTCAAATACCACCAATAATGGGGAAACTGACTTCGATACAAGAGATGCCATCCTCCACGCAATAGTGCGATCAAGGAACATTGACACTGTTATGCTCCAGGAAACATTAACAGAGGGGACTGTTCGCTTCTCAGAGTATTATGTCTTCGTGTTACCAAGCACAGCTGGCACCAGCGGCTTGATCACCCTGGTCAGAGCAACAATCCCTTGCTCTGCAATAGTCGGTGCACCGTTGAATCACTTGCTGTTGAGATTCACTTGGCGAGGGGGGGGGTCTCAAGCTGTACAATGTGTACAGAAGACCAGGCTGTAGGGGCTTAGACATCAGCTAGGTCTGTGGTACTGCAGCACAAGACCGAGTGATCATAGGGGGAGACTTCAATGCACACCATCCCATCTTGGCTCCCTGTAGGAGACAAGTTGTGGCAGGTTATCACATAGCCAGTGTGCTTGAGACATTTCCCTCGCTCTTTCTATCTCATTCTCCCACACATACTCTCTCTCTCGCTCTGACTGGCTCTCTCACTCCTTCTCCCCCCTCCCCTCTCTCTATGGCATGGCCGGGGGCGCGCCACTGCTTCAGCGCTTGCCCCCGGCCAGTAGAGGGCCAAGGGTAAGGTCTCGACGGCATTGACCTTGGTTTCATCATTAATTTATTTGTGTTCTACCCTTTCTTCAGTAGTCAAGCCATGAACTACTATCACTTTCCAACCAGTCCCAAGTAGGAGGCATCTCCACAACCTCTTACACACACTCTCTTTCTCACACACATACAACCCCCCCCCCCTCTCTCTAGAGGGTTGTATGGTTGTGGAAGGGGTAGAGAGGGAGAGCTGATGGGGTACAGTGTAAAGTAGAGTTGTTAGAAGAGGAAGGAGTTAAGGGAGTAGGGATGATTATGATAAAGTATTATGGCGAAAACAGCAAACTTTAGTTTAGCGATTAGGATAAGTGGACAGAATAAGGAGAAGGAAAGGAGAAGAAAAGACCATGCAAAATTAGTTGAGGTGAGGGCTGAGGACCAAGGTTGGGGTGATTTCCTAACCTGGTCCTCAGTCCCTGTTTAGCCCTCCTACGACAACAAAGAGCAAAGGATTGGGGGTCTCTCTCCCTCTGTTACTCACATTTTCTCAATTTCTCTTCATTTTTTACAGATTTACATATTAGTTTGGACATTTTCTTACAATAAATTATTAGCAATACATGTATTGGTATTGATTTAACAGTCTTCGAAGAGTGAATGTATCCGAATTGGTTTTGGTAATTTTCAACTATCATGTGCCTGTGTTTCCTTTTAGTTGATTCCCCATGTAGACTACTCCTTTCTTCAATATAGATAGTAGTCTTCTACAAAAAGGCCATTGTCCCGTTATAATATTATTGCCCATTTTATCCTCCTCTAGCTTAATGCAGCAGCATTGGATGTATGTCATGTCTCAATGGATTGGTTGGATTAGTTCCTCATTTAAAGACTTATAATACCCCTTCTAACCCAATCAACATAGAAGGCAAGAGTACATGCCATGCCCACTGCAATACAAGTTTATTTATTGTATTTACACATAGACTGCTCTAAAAGTGCTTAATCACCAAGGAGTAAGTAATTAGTCCTACCTATCCCACCTGTATCCTCTTTCCTTGTCTTTTGGAAAGGGTCTTCTGCCTTTCATTGTCTTAAATGTTACCAAGATTTTAATAACAATTAAATGATCATCACATCAATAACAATAATAACCGTATTGATACAAAATTCACAAAAAACTACAAGGGACAGAACATAAATCCATGATGGTTGGGTTAACCCATTGCTGCCGGGGAAAATGAACAAAAAATGGGGTAAATGCAGTACTCATTTTTTATATTTTTGTGAAATATCTCTGTCCATAGATGGCTCTGCTAGTCCTGATTTCACCTTTCCTTGAATTGGCGGGAAAAAACGTATTCTTACTGGTGTTATAAATATAGATGGTGTTATTTTTAACAGCAAATTAGGATAACGTTAAATATTTTCGTAAATCGATGAAAAGGGTGAATGGGCGAGACAGGCAGTACTCGTAATTGGCTCATTGGATACTTAGTACAAGTGTAGCCATCTATGTGTAAAAACAATCAAAGAAGTCGACTTACAGTGGGCATGGCATGTACGTACATGCCATCCCCGGTGACCATGGGTTCACATGTACAGGTTCATTCTCCAGCGATTCATATTTCAGATTCAATTCTCCAGTCATACCACTTACTTATTATGGCAATGTTTTGTAAGGAATCTATATTGTCTGCATTATACATCTTTACATTATTAAAGGGTTGGTATTTCCACTGATCTTCAACATTTACATTTCATCTCAGGTCATCATCCAAAGAATTTGACTCAAGGACCTATCTAACTTACCTCCATTATTACACTTTCTGGCATTAATCATATTAGGTAGTGCTCTTCTTTTGGATTTTCCTCAAGGATAACCGGCTGGCCTTAGTCTATGTCCACAAGATAAGAGTTTCTGTAGATCTGGCCAACATAAAGTTTCACTTTTAGAATCCAATAGGGTGTTTTAAGTTGTACTAGATTTATGTATATACATGTTGACATCAATGAATAGATGAATATATATCAACCCAATGCTGTTGGAGAAAATACTGTGATCTTTTTTTTGTGAAATGTCTCTGCATGTAGACCTTATGACTTACCTGATTTCACCTTTTGAATTGGTGTTATCCATATATAGTCATTATTAGGGTGAACATATTCTACATCTTCAACATTTACATTTCATCTCAGGTCATCATCCAAAGAATTTGACTCAAGGACCTATCTAACTTACCTCCATTATTACACTTTCTGGCATTAATCATATTAGGTAGTGCTCTTCTTTTGGATTTTCCTCAAGGATAACCGGCTGGCCTTAGTCTATGTCCACAAGATAAGAGTTTCTGTAGATCTGGCCAACATAAAGTTTCACTTTTAGAATCCAATAGGGTGTTTTAAGTTGTACTAGATTTATGTATATACATGTTGACATCAATGAATAGATGAATATATATCAACCCAATGCTGTTGGAGAAAATACTGTGCTCTTTTTTTTGTGAAATGTCTCTGCATGTAGACCTTATGACTTACCTGATTTCACCTTTTGAATTGGTGTTATCATTAATTTAGACACTATAATTACTATAATAATTAGTAACAGCAAAATAAGGTAACATAAAATATTTTCATACATCAAGAAAAAGGGTAAACAGGTGAGACAGGCAGTACTCGTAATTGGTTTATTGGTGACTTAGTACAAGTGTATAGCTATCTATGAGTAAAAACAATAAAGTAAATTAACAGTGGGCATGGCCTGTACATACATACCATGCCTGCCAGTACTGGGTTAATAGTATGTCATTCTTTTCAAGATTTAACACCAAGGCTAACTGTCACCTATAATGCAGAGGGATGAATAGTTGTTTATGTCTCCTGTTTGTGGACTCGGTAATATTTTGGCCAAAAAAGGAGAGAATGGAAAGTATTATAAAATATATAGAATTTCAAGATATATTTCATTAGGCCAACATATTGCAGGATAATAACAAGCTAATATATCATTGTACCAATATATTGAGCAAGCACAGATATTTGAAAACAAACACTGTGCTTTTTACAACTTTTAATTTGTGATGGATGGACGTAAGGCAATCTCGAGGTAGAATTGTCATTAAATTATGTCTATAGTAAAATCATCACAATCAACTTACTGAGAGAGTGAGTGAGAGAGAGAGAGAGAGAGAGAGAGAGAGAGAGAGAGAGAGAGAGAGAGAGAGAGAGAGAGAGAGAGAGAGAGAGAGAGAGAGAGAGAGAAGAGAGAGAGAGAGAGAGAGAGAGAGAAAAGAAATAAAAAGGGGGGGGGGGGAGAATAAGTGAGGAGAGGATTTGGCTGGTGTGGTGAGTGAGCATAAGCTGGCAAGTAGATTTCATAAATATCTGCAATCAGAGTAGTTCATTGAAATTCTCCTGTGAATTAAAGTAAATATAATATATAAAAACACAACAAATAAAACAGATATAGATATTAACATTCCCTTTCTGAAAACACCATCATTCCCTACCTGTTGATATGCATACTAAAATAAAATAACTAATAAAAGGTAAATTAAGGTCCACTTGCATAATGTAGACTGATGATCATATTTATGTATATTTAGTTATTCATATATAATTTTTTAAAACACTTCATGAAAAAAAAAAAATCTATAAGAATTTATGGTGAAATCTAACAATATACTTGAGGAAATGATTATGGAATCAAAAAGATCCTGCTTGTTTCAGAAACATCTTCCGCTAAAAAGGACTTTCTGTCAAGTTTACCTTTTCTGCTTCATAACACTGACAGCAGACAAGATCTTAATAAATTCCAGTTCTGAATAGCAAGCTATTTGCCATTCCAATATTGGTATCTTTACTTTTACCACAATATATACCATTTTAACATTCCATTGACTTTTCTGGTAAGTCACACACTAACTATCATCATTAACCAGGTTCTTTAGCTATTTCTTATTGCCTAATAACATATATACTAAAAAAAAAATCCAAAATATATATCAAATATATGTGAAAAAAGGCATTAAAATACTCTAACAATATTGTTTCATGACTTTTGTTTAATGAAAGAGTTTGTAAAAATAGATCTGACTTAAAAGATGTCAGCTATGGCCATGTAAGCTGGACCAGTATAAGCATCCATTAAGGAATTCATGTATTCATGTTTCACTCATTAACTTCATATTACTGGTCACAATAAATGGACATTTCTGTCACTTGCTCCCAAGTCATAATTGAGAAATGTGTCTTTTTGGCACTTTCCAAATTTGCATTAATCTTAATATTGTTAGTTAATCTATTTTCTTCAAATAATTCCAACAATAATATAAACATATTCCTAACAGGATCACTATTTGGGTGAAACTGCAATTAAACCAGTCTACATTCTTCCTTCTTCTGAGAGGAGCTAGACGGCAACTTGCAGGTGCCATCCCTGTCTCAGGAATTTCCATTTGCCTCAGCTGATCCATTCGCGATCTGATCTCCCTCTGGAATGAAAGAAAAAAACAAAAAAAGAAAAAAAAAATCAACAGTTCAAGTGAAAATTGGAAAATGTTTTCTTACTAATCTTACTGTGTTTCATGAAGTGAAATCTATTTAAAGTACTTTTTACAATTAATCATACAAGATTCCTTAAGTATGTAAACTAATATAGTACATACTTTAACAATGTATCTAAATTTCAAGAACTTTATGAAACTCTTTCCTCCACAAAAACTAGTGCTATTTTCATAAATATAAGAGCTACAATTTACATTATGTAATAAGATGCAGTATATCTGTGCTTGATAAGAAGTTAATTCATCCCTGATAAATATATATTACCACTAGCACAAACAAAGTGGCCATGCAAAGCAAACTTATACCCTTCCATACCAGTTTTAGGAATAAACTTGAGGGAGTGTGAGAATATTCAGAACCTTGACATCTTTCCATCTGGTCCATCCTTAAGGAATTCATGGCCCAGTCCATTGCCACACTTTCCACATGACACCTGATAGGGGAGAGAAGGGTGTCAGTTTATGATGAATGTAAAAGGTGAATATATGTCATACAGGTGGGTACTTATATCAATAAGTGAAATATAGTGGATTAAATAATAGTAAGGATAATTTGCTGTCTCATGAACATAATCAATAAACAAAAAGACACAGTGGGCTTGCATGTATTCTTGTCATCTCATCAGATGAGCTCCTGTCACTCTATGAGTAGTACACCAAATGGCCCAGTTGCAGAAATGAGTTAACCCATAGCCGACGGGCATGCCATGCCATGTCCACTGTGAGTTTACTTATTTGATTGTTTTTACACATAGATGGCTACACTTGTATTAAGCCACCAATGAGCCAATTACGAGTACTGCCTGTCTCGCCCGTTTACCCTTTTCTTTGATTTACAAAAATATTTTACGTTATCTTATTTTGCTGTTACTAATGTTTATAACATTATAGTAATTATAATGTTTATAATAAAAATAACACCATTGACATTCATAGCACTAGTAAAAAATACATTTTCCCACCAATTCAAGGAAAGGTGAAATCAGGTAAGGCAGAGCCATCTATGTGTAGACATTTCACAAAAAAATATAAAAAATGAGCACAGCATTTTCCCCCTTTTTTATTCATTTTCCCCAGCAGCAAAGGGTTAAAGTACCCATTTGATTTATGAGTTATTTTATCTATACTGATTTCATCTACTGACATCTTAGTGTAAATATTCATTGCTTAAAATCATGCTACATTTAACCACAAATCAGCATCCCATTCCCATTAAATCTGCATGACGTGACAAATAATGTTATGAGAAAATTTGGCTAACTGCTGAGAGCCAGGTATATGCCAGCATAGAAAAATTAGGCTAACAGCTGGGGTGATGGGAGTAAGCAACAACTGCACAAAGTTCTTGGAGAAAGATTACATTCAGTGGGTATTTAGGAAGGGGCCCTTGCATTAATTACACCAGTAAACAAATGTGGAAAGCATTAATTTGTGTTATAACAGAAGAATCAAGTCATTCATTCATAGTCATTATGCTGTTGTGATCTTGGCACTTGTCTAATTGCCACAACTCTACCCAAGTTGCTTCCTCCTCCCCTATAGCTGATAATTCTTTGCTATAATTCTTAAAGTAATATTTGAAGTAATTATATAAAGCATATTCATTTTCACCGCATTTTCTTCGAGAATTCTCTCTCTCTTCTGCAAACAGTTAATTCAGTTTCATGAGTTACATAATAATATATGATAATCATACTTATAAAAAACAGTCTGTTACCTATTTATTGCCTATGTTTGGTCTTATCTTTTGTTTAAATGTACTACAAAACAAAGAGATCAGGAAAAAGCTGCATTCAAACCTAATATATTCTTAACTATGGCCAGAAATCAATATTGTTTTATATTTTAAACACCTCTCTAGAATGTTAATACTTGGAGGAGGAGGAGAAGAAGAAGAAGAAGAAGAAGAAGAAGAAGAAGAAGAAGAAGAAGAAGAAGAAGAAGAAGAAGAAGAAGAAGAAGAAGAAGAAAAAAAAAAGAAAAAGAAAGAAAAAAAAAGAAAGAAAGAAAGAAAGAAAGAAAGAAAAAAAAAATTGAGTTCCTAATTTTTTGCCCCATGCCATCTATTAGGAAAATTTCATGCTCATTTTCATGTTTCATGTTTTCTTGGTGAAATATCTCTACATGTATATGGCTTCACACATATAAGCCAACATGGAGTCAATTAGTAGTCCTTGTGCCCTCACCTGATTTACCCTTTCTGGAGGGGGGGGTTCACTAATGCTATCAATGTGATTAATAGATTAATGGAAAAGAAGTGTGATTCCTGGACTCTAATAAACAAAATATCAAAGGAAAACCTATAATTATGATGGATATAGCCTAAAACTATTTACTAATCTACCAAGCTATTTTTAAATGAATACATAAAGATTTAGCACAAAAAAATAAGTGCTCTGGGCTTAACCCATTCGCGCCGGGCGTCACGTATACATGAGTTTACTTGTTTGATTTTTTACAAACATAGATGGCTCCACTTGCACTTGAACTGCCTGTCTCGTCTGTTTACCCTTTTCTTTAATTTATGAAACTATTTTGCATTATCTTATTTTGCTGTTACTAATGTTTATAACATTATAGTAATTATAATGTTTATAATAAAAATAACCATCGGTATTCATAGCACTAGTAAAAATACATTTTCCCGCCAAATGAAATCAGGTAAAGCAGAGCCATCTAGTGTAGAGAAATTTCATTAAAAAATCTAAAAAATGAGCACAGCATTTCCCCCATTTTTTGTTCATTTTTACCCGGCGCGAATGAGTTAAGATGAGTACATATGTAAATATAAGAAAAATTACACAAACAGTTTGGAAAATAGAAAACCACCTACACTTGAAACTCAATGTGGTTCCTAATTTCTTACCTTCAGAGCTCCTGGACGACCCTCCTCTGGAACCTTGCTTACTGAATCCTTATGGACTGTCTTAGTAAAAGCTGGCCATGGTGTGTGGTGCTCATACTTGGCTTGGCTGGAGAACAGCTCGTATCCACATTCTACACAAACGTACAACCCTGTAATTCCTCAATGAATAAGAACTCTATGCATCTTTCTCATTTCAGAGCAATTAGGGATGAGCTCTCTCCATACAAGTCTATGATAAGCCATAAACCCCTTGTGAACAACCAATAATTTTGTTGTTTTTTTGTTGTTCTTTATGACATAGTGATATGATTTTTTATATAATTTTATGGTAGATTGAACATTTTGGTTATGGGTAACTCATATGATAGGTGAGTGCTTCATGATCAGGGTGATGTAAAACAATGGTGTGGTAGCCTAGATAGTGTTAAGTGATTGCATGCCTTCTCACTTGCAGCTACCACCACTGGCTAGCCTAGTGCTAAAAAGGGAGCAACTCTACATAAGCCTCCCTTGCCAGTTCACTTCTGCAGTGCCTCCTTGTGGCCACACATGGAAACTGGGCACCTTGTGGTCCCAGGCTAAACTGTGGAGGATCTTGGAGCAGCAGGAGGCCCCAGAGGTATGGAGCCATGGCCCACCAGTGTGTGGACATGTCCTGGCTCCATGCCAACTCCTGCCCCTCAGTTACCCTGAGGTTAATGGGCGATTTAGAGGAGGTGGGCCTTGCCTGTCCTCCTCCCCCCAGATGACTCACCGGCAGTGTCTTTAACAAATGGATATGCTGGGAGGAGGGGTGCAGTCCCTCCCACCCAGCCATAGTAGCCATAGCCATTTCCAGCCAAATTCAACCTTCGGTTAACCAAGATACAATTAGACATTCATCATAGACATTCATCTTATGGTGAGTTTCACACAAAACACTACACAAAATATTAAGACAAAAATAACATTTTGTATGAATCCCACCCTGTAAAACTTAATAACTAAATAAACAATTATTGTCATTACCACAAATATTATATTCATTATTTATCTATCAATATTCTTTCCTTTCAGGAAGTTAAACTTTTAATTACAACTGTCAGTGTCCTCTATTTTCTTCTTCAAAAACTAGACCATAAATGTTAATGATGTTTCTGTCTACATGATTGTGGAACCACTCTAAAACAAAATGGCAATCAAGTGCAAAATAGGGATTGCAACTGAGA